GGGCTCAGGCCATCCACTCACCTCAGCCTCTGAAGGCGCGGGATGACAGGCTGAGCCACCGAGCCCGGCTGGCATGCTCTTGATCATCTGGGATCCTTTGTACTCTCTGCTTCTCTGTGGAATTTATAAATCTCCACCGTCACTCTGGGTCTTGTAAACCTTATCTTCCCACCTCCATGCCCCAGTGCAAAGGCTGCACACTGACTCACCAGCAAACATTTTTGAATTCGCCCACAGAGGCTTTTTTAAATGAATTACTTGCCGATATTTAAAAGTCAGGAGACTTCCCCTATCCCCGAGATTCCTTATTTCCTTTGAAAAAGCCGAAGACCAGGCCACACTGGGCCTGCCTTTCCGTGATGCAACGACGGCCATGGATGAGCAGGGGTGACATCTCCCCCCAGTCCCATCCCTCCACAGACCAGGGCACGGCCCTCTCTGGCACAGCCCCTGCTGCCAGAGTGCGCCTCCCTGCCTACTCGGCCCATGACCAGGTTACTTCATAACCTCTCAGGGTAACCTTCTTTCTTTTTGGTTTTGTTTTGGTTTGTTTCTTAGAGCCGTGGTCTTGCTGTGTCGCCCAGGCTGGAGTGCAATGGCCGCTCACAGGCACGATCATATTGCACTACCGCCTCCAACTCCTAGGCTCAAGCCATCCTCGTGCCTCAGCCTCCAGAGTAGCCCGGACCACCGGCATCTCTTTCTTTCCTTAAAGGCCAAAGAAGCCGGGCCTGGTGGCTCACGTCTGTCACCCCGGCACTTGGGGAGGTGGAGGTGAGAGGACTGCCTGAGCTCAGGGGCTCGAGACCAGCCTCGGCAGCTTGGCGAGACCTCCTCTCCATAATCAGAATCAAAAAATGAGCCGGGCGTGGTGGCGCGTGCCTGCGGTTCCAGCTACTCGGAAGGCTGAGGCGGAAGGATCGCCGGAGCCCAGCGGGTCGAGGCTGCGGGGGCCCCCAGCGCGCCACTGCGCTCCAGCCTGGGCGACAGACATCCGGCTCAAAAACGAATAATAATGACAATAACAGTGATGATAACGAAGGCTACGCAAGCGACCCGTCCACGCCAAAACTCACTCGCCTCCTAAGTCTTACCCGGCCGTCCTGATCATCTCGGAACCAGCACCCAGGCCCTGCCCCGAAAGGCCGGGCAAGGCCCCACGCAGGCCTCCTGCTAGGGTTCGCCTCGCATCGGGAATACCCCCCCCGCACACC